CCCAGGGGGCTGATTCTCGGGCCAGGGAGTAGAGCTCCCCGAGATAAAAAATGGTTCTTCTTTATCATTCTCGATTACTTTTCGATTACGTTGACAAGGACAAAACATTCGCTCTATCGGGGTGCTCTACTTCCTGGCCCAAGAATCGGCCCCCTGAAGTAAGACTTGCAAAATAACGGGAACAGTATTGATAGAGTATATAGAACCGTTGATAGAACTTAAGTCTGAACCAAAATGCCTCTATATATGGCTCTGTGATATACTCTGTCCAATGGATATAAATTTACAGGCCACTAATAGTACAATGTATGCCTGAATTATCATCAATTGGTTCCTGTGTTCAGAGGAACTTAACACTGCTTGATGGATGTCGTCGTCACGCGCTCTATTTCTAAACCTAAAATATGACGTCGAGGTGAATTTTCTCCTTATCAGCGAATGTTTTCTTGGACTTATTTTGTTGTCCAGTTTTTTGAATACCTGTCGTAGGTATTGCATTCTTTGCTATTGTATCCTAAACTGGGCAGCTATACAAAGACGAACTAAACTACTGTGTACAATAATTATTATTATAAATTGTTGGCTACAAACCCAAGTTATTTTGTGTTATATACGTATAGGCAACCAACTTAGCAACCAATTAAGCAACCGCCTATCAGCGCCGTCTACTTCCGGAAAGGAACAAAGTATGAAGCTCCATGACACAGCGACTGGAAGAACCAGTCTACTAGAGAACAGCCCAAAGACAAGCCATGCGCCTCATCCAATGTACCCTATAAATTAAGCCCGACAATAATCTTAACTGTGATATTTTTAATACAACACTCATTATCGTTCGTGACTAGTTTTATTGATAACAGAAAGAATCCCTAAACACCACAACTGGCGACGAGGATGGGATGGAAGTGGACATCGACAGCGAGTGACAGATCGAGGCCAACATGGCGGCCGAAATCGTTCTAGATCCAGCGTCGACAAGAAGAAATGGAAAACAGGGTCAAAAATGCAGGTGCTGTGGAAAAAGTCATTCACCCCCATGCAAGTACAGGACGTACCAATGTATTGTTTGCCCAGTGGATCTGAGTCTATGGAAAGAATTCTGACGTAAATGTGCCATGTTGCCACGTTTAATTATAAAAAAGCGAAATTACTAGGCATGAAGTATAGTTAATTTGAAAATCCATTTTTTAATAACAAAATATTGATAACAATAATAAAACGCTAAATATTTTAACGTGGTTGTTAGATCTATCCTTATTTTAATCCTGATTTCTTCAGTTTGGTCTATTGTAAAAAATAAACATTTTCTAAAGATACCATCAGCTTTTGACAATTTGGCAATCATCCGTCCTGGATGAACCTGATTGGTGGAGTTTTTGGCAGGATCGCCGTTGTCATGAGGAACCATACGGTTGTCAATAAACTAACGTCACCTTACGTCTCGCTATTGGCCAGGGCTCGCGTCATTTTATCCTCCCATCTTGGAATATCGATTTATATTGAAATATCCAGTGGCGGAGATTTGGTCATTGCTGATTTTCGTGTACGAGTTGCAGTACGATAACACTTCCAAAAAGTTCCGTACGCAGCTGGGTATTTTATGAATGAAATCAGCCATTTTTTTTTACAACTGCCTTCCCCTTACCGTTGCCCCGTAGACACAGACTCGCTGGGCAGACAGTAGTAAATGTCAAAAATACATGGAACAGTTGTTCCAAGGTATGGAGTATGTTTCAGTCTACCAAGATGATTTATTAATAACAGGTCCTGATAAACAAGGTCATTTAAAAATCTTATGTAAAGTTTTGCAGAAACTCAGCGATGCCGGATTGACGCTACGCCGAGAGAAGTGTCAGTTTTTCAAAGAAGAAATTCATTATCTAGGACATAAAATAAGTAAGCATGGTCTTCACAAGGCTGAAGACAAAATTAAGGCTATATGTGAAGCAGAGCCGCCCCATAATGTAACTGAAGTTCGTAGTTTGTTAGGCATGATAACTTATTATTCAAAATTCATCCCAAATTTATCCTCAATTTTAAGACCCATATATAATTTGCTCAAAAAGGAAACCGAGTATTATATTGGAGTAAAGAATGTCAATTAGCTTTTATGGAAATAAAAGAAATTCTCATGTCTGATTTAGTACTAACGCATTTTAACCCAAAATTACCCATTTATTTGACAACTGACTTCCGATTACGGTATTGCTGCTGTCTTATCCCATGTTATGCCCAATGGAGTGGAAAGACCAATTAATTTTGTTACTAGGACTCTGACAAAAGCTGAAGTATCATACAGCACCCTACACAAAGAAAGCAGTGCGATTTACCTAGGTTTAACAAAATTCTACCAGTATCTGGCAGGAAGATTCTTCACGATCCGCACAGATCATAAACCACTAATAACATTGATGGGTGAACTGAACATAAAGGCATACCAAAAATGTACGAAAATCAACTACAAAGATGGGCAGCATTTCTGGCTGGTTTCAACTATAAAATAGAGCACATAAAGGGTAAGGAAAATATCATTGCAGACTATTTCTCCCGAAAACCAAGCAAAACAGAAGTAGCTATAGAGGAAAATGTAAGTTATTTGAATTTTACTAATAAAATCGATAATTGGCCTTTAAATAATCATGAAATTATGATAAATACGAAACAAGATAGTCAATTGCAAGACATCATTGAATGTGTTAGAGCTGAAAAATGGCCAAAACAAATTAATGACGAGTTGAAGGCATATTATCATAGACGTAATGAATTATTTATAGAAAATGACATTCTAATATGGGGCCTGAGAATAGTGATTCCAAGCAAACTACGTAGGAAAGTTCTGGAAATGTTGCACGAAGGACATTATGGAATTGTAAAGATGAAAGCTACAGCCAGATCCTTTGTATATTGGGAAACGTTAGATAAAGATATTGAAGAAATCACGAAAAGCTGTGTGCCATGCAGAGTAACCGTACAGGCACCACCAAAAAGCCCTTTGACACCATGGCCTGTAGAAAATCGACTATTTAATAGAATCCACATAGATCTTTGTGGTCCAATGGTAAAACATAATTTTTTAATAATTGTAGATGCTTACACGAAATGGTTGGAAGTGTATCCGATGACTAAAGTCACCACCGATGACATCATTGAAAAATTGAGAGAGACATTTTCCAGATTTGGCATACCAAGTACCATGGTGAGCGACAATGGACCTAATTTGATGTCAGCAAAGATGCAACAATTTTGTAGACTGAATGGCATCAAGCACTTGAAATCACCTCCTGGTCATCAGCAAAGTAATGAAGCCGCTGAAAATGCAGTTAAAAATTTTAAAACTAAACTCAACACAGCCCTTAAAGATCCAGAAAGCAAAAATCAATCATTATCAACTCTAATATCAAGAATATTGTTCACTTATCGAACAACGGAGCATTGCTCAACAAAAGCATCACCAGCTAGTTTGATGTACAAAAGAGAATTGAGATCGAGACTTTCTAGCATGGGAAAAAGTGACAACATTCTGGATACAGCAGATAAAAGTGCAATAGAAAACTTAAGAAAGGCTCAGGAACGTCAAAAGAAAAACTACGGAGGGAAGGAAAGAGGATTAAAAGTAGGAGACATGGTATTAGTGAAAGATTATAGAAATCCAAATAAGATTGCCTGGACCAAGGCCAAACTAATAAACAAGACTGGAAAAGCAACATTCTTGTGTGAACTGGAAGAAGGAAACATTTGGACACGCCATAAGAACCAAATCAAAATATGCCAGTGGGAAGCAGAATCGAAAAATGTTCATTTTGACCCAAACTTAACCATATTTCATGATTATGATACTGATAACTTTGAAATTGATAAAAACATAATAACTAATAATTCTTCTTTAGATTCTCAGCATATAGTGAGATACGTACCTCAACCACAGGTAGAGCCAGCAGCCAGCTTCACCTAGCTCCCCTTGTAATTCAAGCCACCCCTCTCTTGCAGAACCACCCTCATGTTGTGACTGTACCTTATATAATGATTTGTGTAACTATTGTAAGTATAAATTGAATTTATTGGATGAGCAAGGCCCAATGGAATCGACAGCTGATGAAAGTAACATTTCTGTTCATTCAGAGAGCTTTGAAAGTTGTGACGAAGATTCTACTATGAATCTTAATAAAAATAAAAATTTGACAGGGTCTGACAGTCACGTAAAAAAGAAACTGTTAAGTAATAATGACGATCATGGACATCATAATGACAGCGTACCTAGTAAGGAAATAAAACGCAAAAGAATTGTTCCTAATAAACTGAAAGATTTTATATTGTGATATTTATGTAACATGTAAACTATTAATTGTATTGTACCAATTTGTAAATGTGAATATTGTTATTATGATAGTACTGTATTTATTTTAGATTTTGAAAAATCTTAGAGGAGAGGTGTTATATGCGTATAGGCAACCAACTTAGCAACCAATTAAGCAACCGCCTATCAGCGCCGTCTACTTCCGGAAAGCAACAAAGTATGAAGCTCCATGACACAGCGACTGGAAGAACCAGTCCACTAGAGAACAGCCCAAAGACAAGCCATGCGCCTCATCCAATGTACCCTATAAATTAAGCCCGACAATAATCTTAACTGTGATATTTTTAATACAACACTCATTATCGTTCGTGACTAGTTTTATTGATAACAGAAAGAACCCCTAAACACTACATTTTGCCATACAAGTCTAACTGAAAGACTTACGATTTGTAGACTTTCATTCATGTAAAAATTCAGTTTGGTAAAAAACAATCTTCCGAGATCTCAAAAAGAATATATGTTATGGCAGGCAATTGCATACAGAAAGAGGACAGGACCGAAAAATAAGCTACTATTAAGCTTTCGGCAACGTTTCAGAATATATTCTTCCTTTTTTGAAATGTTGCCGAAAGCTTGATAGTTTCTTCTTTTTTGGCCCTGTCCTTCTAAACAAAATTAAAACATATTTTTAAATAAATAAAACAAGTTATTATTTTATATTTTTATTTAAGTCACAAAAAAGTAACATTAAAGAAACAGAGCACACTATGCACGTAAATGTAAAAATCAAACTATTGAAAGATAATTCAAATTGGAACTGATTTCAACTAAGACAACTGATGTAACATTACAAGAAAAAAAGAAAAAAAACATAAATAGCGGCTATTGTGTTTTCCTGTTAAATAATGGATAAATGCGAATTTATTCTATTTTTCCTACTTAAAACCCTAGATTAAAATAATTAATGAAAGCGTCTTATTTATAATATGAGTAATTCCCCTGAATAATTGGTAGAAGAGTTTAGGCATACTTATCTACATTACGCAGAATCCGACTATAAAACATCTTGGGATTACATAATTTGTTTGCCCCCCAAAAAAAAAAAGACAAAATACTAAACACTTTTAGGCTGATAGTAATTAAAAAAATTCCATTTCCCAGGAATAAATGTTACAAAGTCATAAACTTTGTTTAAAATATACATATCCACGTTACACAACTCTCCCAGATTTAATTTTTTTTGGTTAAAATCCTGTAACCCTATAAACTATGACTATCTATACTAATATAATCTAGTTTTATAATTATGTAGTGATTTTTAGCATAACGATTAACAATAACAACACCATTTTATAAGTGTTATAAATATAGGACTCTGAAATGTTTTAATATTAACAATTTATAAAAGTAGAAACATATTTTATATACAATATAAATTTTTGAACAAATTTCTCTAAGGTTGTAAAAAAATTTTAATATAAAAAACAGTTGATTTAAAAGTTTATATATATTAAATCGAGTTTGTAAACTTTACTAACTAACCAACATTTGACAAAAAAAAAAAAATACAACTACACTACAATAGCAAGATAATTTTAATAAATAATTTCCTATAATAGCCTAAGGTCTGTCCTAAGAAGTTACTCAATATTTTTATTAGCCAATTATTTACTCTTTTGAGAATATTTTTTTCCTATTGCTGTTGCATGATGTTTCTCCAAATACATATACAGGGTGATACTTTAGTTTATATGTATATTAAAATTATATTACATTATTTTATTTTGAAAAAGGTTAAGAAGAATTACAATTGAAAAAAAAATCACTGAAATGTTACTGTAATGAGGATCTGATTAAGAGAAAAAACCACTACCATTATTTTTACAAAAATATGGTCAATGAAACTGAAATTTATTTGAGTAAAAAATATCCTAAGCCATCAAATTTCACTCTACTATCTAGGCGATTCTATTCAAGGAATTTACTGCTAAAATTTTTTTAGTCTACTTATTGATTACCCTGTATAGAGCCGAAATTCCTAAATATCCTGAACTTCTGGATTTACCTTAGACCATAAATAAATAACAAATAAGTAAAAATAATTGCACATTGATGTTTCACTCATTGATATTATTTTATAATCAGTCTGTTTCTAGAAACAAATGAAGGCAATACTCCCGTTTAATTATTTTAATTTAAACTAATTAATTACTGATTATAGGCAGACAAATTTCTCAAATTAGCTATAAGATTTATCTACTCAACCTACATACATATTTTGAAATAGTAGAGAATTAAAAATATATAGTCAAACTTGGTCATAACAAACGTAGAATAGGTACAGTTCTCATGGGAACATTATATTAGTTTGACTGTATGAATTTTTTTTTACATTTTGATAAACTACCTACTGGTATATTTTATTATCAAAAAATATACAAATTTACGATATTTTCTAATATTTTAAAAATTATGTATATACAAATATAAAATTCTAATAATTTCCTATAGCCTGGCAAAGTTGCGTCATTAAGGCACAAGATACCAACTATATTTGAAAATAGACCTACTTAAGTACATACATTAAATACATTATTGAAAATTATATAATTAAAAATTGGTGAAATTTAAAAAGGAGTATGTACTGATACTATTTTCTTAAGATGTTGGTTATTATTAGTCAAAAACATGGAACAAATAATATTTTTAGATAATTATTTTTCCCAAATACATACTCACTCAAATGTGGATTGTTACTTCAATTTACTAAGCTTATCTCAAAAAATATTGAATATGAACAGTGTTCTATATTAGTGTTATATCTACTACTACTACTATCTAATAAAGAATTTATTATGTAATGCACATCCTTTCCTAATTCACAGCATTGTTTATGGATTCAGAAAAACAAACATCTCTTTAAACATTTGTCTGTCATGATTATGATAAGATAGTTACTATTATTTGATAGTAGTAACACTCTATAATTTTTTTGCAATTATATCTACATAAAATTGTATATTTTTGATAAATGTATCATTAGAAAATAAGTATTTACAATAATTTATACCAATTTTTAATCAATACAATAATGTTTTCTATATACATTTTGAAATTGCCTAGGTAAAAATTACACTAAAATCTTTGCTATAAAAATATATTATGTATAATGACGATCTTAAAACACATTGATTACTCCTTTGGTTCATTATTGGAATGTATGAAAAATCATCTAAAAGACACATTCTCGGTGGAAGACACGCAATAAATAAATAAAATGTTTAAATAATGTAAAATGACAAACACTAAAAAAATATACTGCCAAGGGTTTTTGAGAAAATAAGCAAAAATTATTTTTGAGGTTGCATTTTTGCAACTATTGCTTGTAATCTTTGAAGTTGGGCCATCAAATCCTCGTTTGAGTCTTGTAGGTTCTCTATTGTTTTTTTAAAGCCATTGTTTTCGTTGACTAAAATTTCTACTTTTCTTTCTAGCTGGTCCATGTACTCTTTCTTTTTTCTTCGGCTTTCTTGAGCCGATATTTTATTTTTAATTTTCCTTCTGATTTTCTTCAAGGACTTTTCTTCGGCTTTTGTAAGAGGTAGGCGAGTAGGCACTGGGTAACCTTCTGCAGTTAGAGTTCTTTTTTCTTCTTCGGTAAGAACTAGAATACCTGTAGAACCCTTCTGGAATAAATAAGAAAAATATTTGTAAATTTTATAGGTTCAAAGACACATTAATTTTCTTTACAAGCAAACTTTATTATGTGTCAAGAAATCATTCTTACCGGTTGGGTACTAATAAGTGGCGTATAAATTGGCTGCCTTGGAGTAGGATGAGGTAAAATCGTCCTCGCTATTTTTCTTGGTGCTGGCGAAGAAGTAGTTGTATTGTCTTCTGAGTCGTCGCTGCTACTGCACGATGGTGGTGTGGGCGGGAGGTGGTGAAATGTGCTACCTTTCGGAGCTGAAAATAAAATAATCTTATTAGTTGTTTTTTTTTTTTTTTTAATTAGGAAATAATTATTGTGTGTGTCAGATTTTCTCGAGATATCCACAACGGCTTCTCCATGATACAACCCACATTTGAAAATATGTCTAATAATAAATCACACAGTACATGGTTTTTAAGCCTCTAAATTTTTTGCTTGTCTTATCCCAACCACCCAGTATTCAAGCAAATTATTGAGTTTATGTCCAACTGCTATAGAAAACCAATAAGAAAAAACGAGTTACCAACTTATACTAAAATGCACTGGCTTCCTGAAATGCTAAGTGGCCAATACACAATAATTAAACCTGCGTTTCTACAAACAATTCCTTCAACTTCTGGACCTACAGCATTTAATTCTGTGGATGCATCAACAAATGAGATATGCATGAAATACTGCACACTCGATATCTTGGCCGACAGCCGTTTTTCTGAAAGCCAGATTGTAATCGGTGGACCATTGTTCTTACTAATCTTATCTTCAACTGATAATACCTACTGGCATTGAATTGCTCCAACTGATCTAACTTTCCGTTGGCAATATAAGTTGTAAAAAGTTTTTTTCTAGGTAAGAAATCAACGTGAAGTTAAGGATATAGTTCTTATTCGGAGAATGACCCGCTGATCTGCGGATGCAAAATTCCCTAGCCAGTTCTTTACGCATTTCGTCCTTATTTGGACTCATCAGCTGGTCAATTTCCGAACAAGGACTACGATGTTCTTGACTTCACGTTGGTTACTACCTGCAAAAAGTTTTTAGGGCACTGTCTGATCACCAAGCTATTTTTACTAAACTTTCATTGCCTATTGAAATATTTGAAGACAGGAAATATTTTAGAAACTATAAAGACATTGATGAATTGGAGTGAAGTGTATTATATTGAGGATATTGATCAAAAAATAAATCATTTCAATAACTGTATCATGGCACTTTCTGATTTTCATAGTCTATTAAAACCCATTAATCTGGAAAAACAACACGCACCGTGGATGACCTACAATCTAAAACAAATGATAAAAACATGACATAAAACCTACAAAAATTATAAAGAATCTAAAACTGTCATATCTAGGCAGTTGTATTGTGAACTATGTCAATAAGGCTGTGAAAAGAAAGCGTATTACAGACACATGGTATCAGCTACTTTGAACAACCCTACTGGATTTTGGAAAATGATGAAATCTTGGGGGCCTGCTAGCAGAAGTGGAAATGTATTGACTGTAGATGAGCTGAGCCCTGATGAGGTGAACAAATATTTCAGTGAATGTGTAAATGATATAAAATTCAGATAATGAGCTGCCCGAAACTTTTTATGCCATCTCAGAAACGGCTCAAGTAAAATTCAGCCTAACCTGTACTAGCTTGGATGAATTATATAAAACTCTACAGTCAATCAAATCTAACGCTATATGGGTCTGGATGGTATTTCGATCCAGATGCTGAAGTTGGCTTTTCCATTTTGTGGCCCGGCCCTTCTGAACATTGTCAACTCATCTCTAATTAGCGGTCACGTCCCAGGCGCATGGAAAAACTCGAAGATAATACCCCTCCAGAAAAAAGAAAATATCAGAGATCCGTCAAACCTTCGCCCCATCAGCATTTTGCCGCCCGCTGGTACTTGAAAAACTTGTGCATCACCAACTTTCGTCATTTGTTGAAGAAAACAACATATTGCTTAATGAACAATCAGGATTTAGAAAATCGTACAGTACCAGCAGGGCATTTTTAAAGATAAATGACGACATATACTGACCTCTTTGGACAGGAATCTTCCTTATCCTTTTAGACATGTCCAAAGCATTTGATAGCTGCTGTCGAAGCTTCCATGTTATGGTGTTCAGACCCTTGGAATGGTTTAAGAATTACATGTTTAACAGACACCAAACTGTCGAACTAAGGAGTAAACCTGACCCAGCACTGTCCCAGGAATTGGTTGTGAAGAAGGGAGTCAATTTTGTCTCCTTTGCTGTTTAATGTGTTCCTCATAGACTTTAAAAGCAGCATAAAGTATTGAAAAGTTTATTATTATGCAGATGACATACAGCTTATGTATGATTTTAACTTTCAAGACATCGACAAGGCAATAGTTCAATCAACGAAGATTTGCGATGTTTAATCCAATGGAAAAATATGAACGGTTTTAAAGTTAATGTGTCTAAAACTGATGCCATTGTGTTTGAAGGTAGAAGGAATGTGGAAGAAATCTTGGCTGGTCAGCTTACGTTGAACGGTGAAGCATTAATAAGATTTAGCGAATATGTTAGAAACTTGGGTCTTATAGAGAAAAAACTGAACTATGCAAAACAAGTGGCGTCCCTAAGTAGATCTTCTTTTCTTACATTAAAAGGACTTTATAATTTAAAAAACTATCTTCCCCAAAGTGCAAAGTTAAGACTGATGTGCGATTCTTTAGTACTCTCCAAATTAGACTACTGTGTTTTTGATCCGTGTTTGCGTGCTGAAGATGCAAGAAGCCTACAAAAAATTCAGAATTCTTGCGTTCGTTTCGCATTTCAAATCCCACGAAGAAACCATATTTCTCCATACTTAAAAGAAATTCAGTGGCTGAGTATGAATGAAAGAAGATGGGTGCATCTCTGCATTTTTATACACAGGGTGATTTTGGCTAAACAACCCAGATATTTGTATGAAAACCTGGAATTCCGAAATATGGCCCATGCGAGGGAGCTCAGACATGCACCAGCTTCTTTAACAATCCCCTTTTTAAAAACAGTTTTTCCTACAACTTTGTCTCTCATTACTACCATTTCTGCTTCCAAGTTTTCAGTGATATATATTTTTGTATGCTCAAGTACTTTCAAATTGACATTGTGGTCAACCAATTTCTTAGAAATTGTAAAAACCCCATTTTTTGTAAACCCTGTATTTGCAAAATAAATGATTTATTATTATTATTATTATTATTAATATCAAATATTTTAATTTTTTTTTCTCTAAATAAACAATCTTCTCACAAGACATTGATAATTATTTATTCTCCATAGTCTGTTTATTGAATTAGATTTTCTGCTACAGGAGATTATCATGATCTACTAGCCTCAACTGTAACCCAAATCTGTTTCCAAGAAGTTTTGCGTCTTGATTTTTGCTTTAAATCCTTATGTATTTATGTTTACAGTAAATGTTCACTGACATTATATTATTTTCTATTTTGTAAATAGTTTATTTTGAAACACTCAGCCATTGTACATATACCTACACATTTCGACTGTGTCATCAATACCTACTTATGATGCAATTAATATAACGTAACAAATTGTTGAAGGTTGAAATGGATTCTTGAGCCTTCCAAATCAGACTCAAGAACATGACATATAATTAGTTATTGATCGACTGCACATGATAGGAAGAAAACTTTAAAGAATTGCTCAAAACTAAGGAATTAACTAGCTGATGATTATTTCTCAACGCTCTATAAGATTTTTTTGTTGCCCTATTCAGTGCTGCTAAAAATATGGATTCAATGTCCAAAACCCATGATTAACTAAGGCAGTATTTATAGAAATAAAAAGGGAAAGAGGCACAATAATACTGAAGAAAATTACCAACAGTACCAGCATCAAAATAATAAGGTCAAAAGTTGAAGTCACAGTGAGAAAACAATATGAATAAAATCTGCTGATCAACATCATCAGTTCTTTTCCTGTTAACTCTAAACACACTAACTTTAGTATTAGTGACAAAGCAACTCTAGTCCCATTTGAATATCACCAGGAGGCTGCAGAGTATTTTGCACAGCAATTCCAGAGTGTTTTTACTAAGCTCAGGCCTACAGATATTAGACCAACACTTCCAGTTGAATCCTACTCCGGAACAAAATAATTTCATCCCAGAAAAGATAGAGCGATCGCTATATCAAGTCCCTAAGCGTGAACTCCAACCCTGAACTTGAGATCCCTCCTATATTTCTTAAAAATTGTCTGCACACTCTAAAGGGACCTCTGTCAGCCCTATTGAATGACATAATATCCACAGGAGATTTTTCTTGGAAAAAAACAGTTGTTGTCCGTATATTCAAAAAGGATAACAAAAAGCTAGTAGAAAACTACAGACCAGTCAGCTCAGCCTGGACAGCGCCTGGAAAAATTCATTGCTAAGGAACTCACAAGCTTTTTCTTGAAGCTCATATTGTTAATTGTACCACTCAAACAACATGGTTTTCTCCCCAAAAAATCTACTTTTACGAACCTCCTAACCAGACTCAATATGTGGACAAAGACGGATGATAAGAATGATCCAATAGTTTTCCTTGACTATCAGAAAGCATTTCATAAGATACTAAGATACCAACAATATACTTATTATACAAATTATCTCATTTTGGAGTCAGGGGCGATTTACTGCGACTTCTTGAGGAATTTATACTGGACGTACCTTTCAGGTTAGGATAGGAATATCATTCTCAACTCTGAGTTGAATACTCTGTACACAGCGGCCGGCGTACCGGTTAACCGGTACCACAATAAGCCTCAGTCTCAGAACCCTTCCAAAAACTGAAGACCAATAATATGAATCGTTTGCAAATTATATATTTATATTTTATATATATATATATTTATATATTTACGAGAAAACCCCATCAATAGTATACAATTAACAAAAATAAGGTTATGCAAAATTGCTTACTACCAATTAAGTAACTCAAAAAACAAAAACTTAAAAAAATACCCTAGTTAATTAAAAGTTAAACTATCTATCTGCTGTTTGAAGTTTGATAGTGAAATATCAATGATTTCGATGTGATAATGATTAACCAGTCTAGAATAACGTTAAAGGCACATTTTGATCATAATTTGTTCGGTGGAATAGAATGTGAAAAGTTGTAAAATTGTCCCTTCTATTCCTACTAGATATTTCCATATTAATACATTCAACTAAGTCCGGACTATCAATGTGGCTGTTTACCAGATTATAAATAAAAATTAAACCTCAAACGCTCATCCAAAGTTTTTTA